ATGATAGAAGTGACCAACAGTGTTGAGGGAGGCCATGTATGAATGTATCTGTGTTTACCACGAGATGGTGGATGATAGGGTTAGAAGGTTATCTGGGGTTGCTAAGTAGTGGTCGAAGATTAAAGCTACTTATTTTGAGTGTCATAAGTTCATCAGTGTAAACTGTTAATGTTTCCTCTTGAAATAAAGTTTATTATTATTAGAATGTTTGTGTTGTCATGTCATCTACAGGCCTATAGCATATTGATGGAAGCGACCAACATCGCTGACGCCGTGATGTATGATGCGCAACAAGCATCACCTTTATACGAGGTTAGAATCCTACCACTATTCACCCTTTTTTTCCCTATTCATTTTTCTTTTCTTTTCTTTTTTTTCTTTCTTCTTTTTTCTTTATCGGCCTGTTGTTTGACACAAGTAGAACCATCATGTGAACTGCTTCAAGTTTTGTATCTTGATTTCTTATTACATGTATGGAATTCGTATAAAGAAATCCCTTAAGTCTCAGTTATTTATATCACTGTTCGACTAGTTCATTCATAATAAATCAAGCACACCGTGCGCTACATCAAACCTGACTTCATAACACGCCAAAATACTTTATCCATCATTTTTTCTTCTAAGAAGGCAACAGGTAAGTGGCCGAACCGTTTTTGCTAAACAACTTAAAGGGCACTTGGATGAAAATCAATGAAAATTGGAAATGGCTTTAAACTTGGTTAAACTTATCTATATGGCCCAGATAGTAGCCAAGCAACATGTTTCCTTCACAGTCAAAAGTGGCGGGAAAAAATTATTAATTTTATTCAGCATCTAAATTGTGAGTAAATGACGTCATTTACTCAACGCTATTGTTCTTTTCGCTTTTAACCCAAAATATCTCAACAGCGAGTGGCTCTCAGGCTAAAATTTTCACTAATCAGATTTTCATAATCATAATTGAGTCATATTATCCTCGAATACTTCAATTATTCGGACTTTCAAAAATCGGGGCGTTTTTATCCAAGTGCCCCTTTAAAGTGAGACCAATGTTTCTAACATTAGAAAATATTCTCGTTGTGTAGATGAGGATGGTTAGTCTTCCCGTTCAGCGTGAAGCGGTGGACGTCCATCTCGACTTGACTGATCTTATGGTTAGTATGTTCCTATGCTATTCACAAGAGGACCGCAATAGAAGACAACTCGAGGCTCGTAAAGGCAGTATGCAGAAGGTATGTGACTGGCAGACTTTTTATGAACGTAAACGAAAATCCCATGACATGGCAGTGTAACTTCAAGCGAACCACTTTCATATTTTAAAATTACCGCTCACCAATTCAAATTTGTTGGCCATTTTTTAGTATTTTTTTAGGATGTGACGAAATCACAACAATTATCAAGAACCAGATTTCGCACAAGGATAAAAACGAAGCGCACTGAATATTGTCATAGTGCGTGCTCCCTCTCGATTTATAATAACTATTTATCATAATAGTGTGCAATTCTAGTTTCTTTTTTTCATTTAACGAATAGATGATAGATGACTTTGTAAAGAGTGAAGCGGTTCTATGTAGTGAAGAGAAACAAGAATGGAAAGATACTTGCAGGTAATTAAAGGATATCTTGTACTGAAATCTATGATAATCGCCGATGATTTATACATAGAAATAGCTGTATGCCTTCCCACTTATACAATACAATGTTAGGGAAGCACGGGTAGCGTAGCGGTGAGAGCGCTCGCCTCGCATCAATGCGATTAATGATATATCGTTCAAGTATATATATTCGTATACTATTGGAGCTTTCATCGATATCTATATATTAATAAACAGAACATTACATGAGCTCTTAGACAAGTTTTATCTTCTTGTGTTGAATATCTCTCACTCGAAGATAAAATTCGTATGTCTGCGCGCCCATATAATATCCTCTAGTCATTTTAAGGTGCAGTACGGAATATTTGAATATTTTTTCGAGTTCGAGGGTTGGAGTCCAGAACTCGGTGTCGTATGTGAATAGCTTCTTGTTAGTTAGGACTTTTTTAAATCTGAATTCTCATCGGTCGAGAACCTACAAATAATTCTAGCTATCAGCGTGCGCCAGCGAATTTTCAGGGGTCGATAGTTATCTATAGGCAGTTATCTGCGAAAACGAGCCAGCATAGGACAGCGGATGGCGGTTATCTGAAGGTTGTTTTTTAATTTATTATCTTGAAACTTAAAAAAGTCTATCATAAAGTTTCTATCTTTGTATTATCAGATCTATTTGAACAATGCATAATCATAAAACATTTATTGAATTCGGTTTTGATAAAATCCGGAATTATCAATGTCCAATAAGACTTAGGGTAATAACACTTGCCTCGACATTGATAATTCCGGAGATCATCAAAACCTCATCCAATAATTGTTTACTATTCTAGCTCTCTTGCCGTGGATGCTATGATGCAGTTATCATTGGTTAGTGGAATGACGAATGGTTTACCTCATCTTAGAGCAAAGGTACGTCACTGCATGTTACTTAAAACAGTTACAGCTCAACAAATTAGATAGAACATCTCAGAGTTTAAGATTCTTTGAACCGAGAATAAATGATTACACCTTTTTAGTTACAGCTTCCGGCTGTACTACATTTCGCTATAAAAAAGTGATAAGTTCATAGATATGAGAAGCATCTATCGTGAAAGCGAGAATGGTGACCCGCCCTCTTTTTTTTTTTTTTTTTTTTTTTTTTTTTTTTTTAATTTTTTTTTTTTTTTTTTTTTGTTTAATGTCCATGCAAATTTTCAGAATAAAGCGGTTATGGTCAATATTTATTTCAAGGGAATCATCTTAATTAAATAATATGTAGTTGTTTTTGGG